ATAGGGGCAAAAAAATCTGATTTGGGTCACTTCAGGCTGCAGTCTGAAGGTAGCCTTAAAAAACACTTCAAACTGGGTCAACAGCTCTGTTTTGTGGACTGTGTCACTGTGGCAGAGGAAGAATACTATGGAGAATGTGGATGAGATGCTGAACTATATCTACATCTGACTTACAATGCAGACTACACCTTTATGAGAGGTGAGTAATAAAGTCTTATTATTATTTTCGCTATTTCCTGAGTTTGTATCTTGTGCCTCTGTGTCCATCACTCCTTTGCCCCTGACGCTCTGTTTTATTGGCCTTTACCATAGATACAGTCTATGGCTGTTACCGTAGCGTTGCTGATGTTTGGTGGTTCTGATCTGACAGAGCAGCTCAGGCTCCGTCCACACCAGTACGTATTCGAGTCTTTTTCGTTGCGGATTCAGTGTTCGTCCACACTAATCCGATGGAAACCGACTCCAGAGACGGAACGATCTGGTGCCGCCATCTCCCACGAATTCATCTGAGTATGGATGTGATCGGGCACTGTGTGGACACCTGGAAACGCTGACACGCTGACGTAGGTGTATGCACCGCAAAGTAATTCACCGCCAAAACACTACGAGGCTAGAATATATGTCCATTCAAATATACGGTCTATGCATATGACCTGCAGACATATAATCTCTGAAAAGTTTAACGTGAACCATCTCCAACGTGATAGAAGCACAGAGCAGATTCACCATCAGCAGAACACCCCTCTGTCACAGAAAGAACACTCATATTCCACTGAGTCATGTCCTTTAGTCTGACAGAAGCTGAACTGCATCAGCGCACAATAGCGAACTGTTTTTTGAGCGGTCAGTTTATGCAAATTAGCCATGCGGTTTTAAGTTTCATTTCTGTAAAACGTAAACACATATGCTCAGAGCTGTGTGGGTAGGGAAGGCTTGTGGACACAGAAATGAAGTGTAAACGTAGTCTCGAAGTCACACTGACACCACACACACGAGGAGCGCAACAGCTTCAAAATCGCACACGAAGACACAAAGTCGAGTCACACCTCCCTAAATCACAGCCAAAATTGAGCAAATTCTCCTGTAGTGTGTGGCAGCTTTTAATTTAGTCTTAACTTTAGTAAAAGATGAGTTTACGCTGTATGCAGTAGTTTTTGTGACTGCCTTATTTCAGCTCGCCCAAATGTGGCTTTTCTTTTTAACAATGTCAGGCTGCATTGGATTAATGTCTTAAGATATTTACTGTATGTGAGACTGAATCTTTACAAATAAATAAAAACAACTTTCAAACACAAACTTCACATTCTCATTCGGATTATTCTCTTGGTTTAAAAGGGCACTGCGTAACTTTTTGGTTTTGGGTCCGTCACTTGCTTGTTTCTATGGATATGTCACTGCTCTGCCTGAAATGTTCCACAGATTTACCTTATATTTATTCAATTACAGGTGGTTTTATAGCTCAAAATACCAAGAAAAACAGGCGTTCTGACTGTGAGCGGGGTTGCCTCTCCACAGATTTTTAGTCTTCATGATGATAGAAAGGTTTAATGCCATACTGTGAAACATTCCAGACAAAGTGAGAACATCTCCGAAAAGCATTTGGCAAACCCTCCACCAGAAAAGTTGCACCTTGAAGAAATCTCTGTGAAACAAGATATTCACAGATAAATAAAAACAAGTTTCAAACACAAACTTCAGATTCGCGTTCGGAGCCTGCTCTTGGTTTAAAGTACAGAGGGGTGAGTTTTTTTGAGGAGTCGGTCCCTGAAGCGCTCCCATTGACTTCAGTTCAGATGTATTTTACACAGTCTTTAATCTGCTCAGTGGGGCTCATTCTGCAAATCCACTTAAGTTTTCCTCTTTAGAGACTTTAAACAAGCTGGAACCCCAGTGCCAGAGCCCACAGAGATTTTTGCAAATAAAAGAAAACTGGAGAGAGCTGTGAGGGTCTCCTGTCAAACACTGACTCGCTTTAGAGGCATTATTTATCCAGAAGGTCTTTAGACGATCGGAACCAATGCTCTTTATTTAACGTTACTACAAGCTGCTGGTACTGTATCCCAGAGTCTACACAGAAATATAACGCATCTATAATATATTCATGAGATCTGAAACAAGGTCACAATTTTTATTTTCATTTTCATTGTCATTTTTATTCCAGACTTGAGCCAGGATCTTATTGAGCAGTACCTAACTGAAGCGCATTTTTTAGACTTTAGACACTAGACTTTATTGATCCACAAGGGAAATTACTACTTAATCATAAAAAGTAACAAAATATAGAAAAAAAGGTAATAAACTTCTAAATAAGTATCAATAAAAAAGGAAGAGAACTGGTGTGAAATAGACATAAATTCTATACATATATGTACAGTAATTAAAAAGTTACACTCAGAAAAGAACCCAGGAAACAGGCAGAACATGCAAACTCTACAAAGCTTATTACTTTGAATTTAAATCTCATCTGATTGTTTTGTGTCTGATTGTTGATTATCTGATTGGTGCCTATATAATTATGTGTCTGATTATTGTGTATCTGATTGTTGTGAGTCTGGTTGTTGCGTGTCTGATTGTGCGTATCTGTTTGTGCTGTATCTGATGGTTGCGTATCTAATTAATGTGTGTCTGATTGTTGTGTATCTGATTGTAAGGTATCTGTTGTGTATCTAATTCTTGCATAACCGATTGTTGTGTATCTGATTGTTGCATATCTGTTTGTGCATACCTGTTTGTTGTGTATCTGATTGTTACGTGTCTAATTGTTGCATATCTAATTATTGTGTGTCTGATTGTTGTGTATCTAATTGCAATGCGTCTGATTGTTGTGTATCTCATTGTTGCATATCTGGTTGTTGTGTATCTGATTGTTGCATATCTAATTGTAATGCGTCAGATTGTTGAGTATCTGATGGTTGTGTATCTGTTTGTTGCATATCTCATTGTTGCATATCTGGTTGTTGAGTATCTGATGGTTGTGTATCTGTTTGGTGTGTGTCTGATTGTTGTAAGTATGTAAGTCAGTAAGTAAGTGAGTCTTTATTTTTATATATAACACTTTTTCACAGACATATGTCACAAAGCTGCTTTGCAGAGCATTATAGATTCATTATTCTTTTCTCTTCGTACCGGGTGATGGTAAGATACTATTGTAGCCACAGCTGCCCTGGGGCATACTGACGGAAGTGCGGCTGCCATGCCAATCGGCGCCATCGGTCCCTCAGACCACCACCACCATCACTCACGCACACACCACTTTCATACTGGGCAATGTGGGTGAAGTGTCTTGCCTAAGGACACAATGACAGTTTTGTCGACTGGCGCCCCCCCTGTGGCACCTGATTTTCCCAGTGGTCTCCCATTCAAGTACTAACCACGGCCAGCCTTGCTTAACTTCTGAGATCTGACGGGATCAGGCTTTGACAAACTGGTATGGCCATCTGATTATTGTGTATCTGATTGTTGTGTTTCCGATTGTTGTGTGTCCGATTGTTGTGTATCTGATTGTTGTATATCTAATTGTAATGCGTCAGATTGTTTAGTATCTGATTGTTGTGTGTCTGATTGTAATGTGTCTGATTATTGTGTATCTGACTGTTGTGTATCTGACTGTTGTGTATCTGACTGTTGCATATCTGGTTGTTGTGTATCTGACTGTTGTGTATCTGGTTGTTGTGTATCTGACTGTTGCATATCTGGTTGTTGTGTATCTGGTTGTTGCATATCTGATTATTGTGTATCTGACTGTTGTGTATCTGGTTGTTGTGTATCTGGTTGTTGTGTATCTGGTTGTTGTGTATCTGGTTGTTGTGTATCTGACTGTTGCATATCTGGTTGTTGTGTATCTGGTTGTTGTGTATCTGGTTGTTGTGTATTGTGTTGTTGTATCTGTTATTGTGTATCTGTTGTATCTGTTGTTGTGTATCTGGTTGTTGTGTATCTGTGTGTTGTTGTGTATCTGGTTGTTGTGTATCTGGTTGTTGTGTATCTGTTGTGACTGGTTGTTGTGTATCTGTATTGTGTATCTGGTTGTTGTGTATCTGGTTGTTGTGTATCTGGTTGTTGTGTATCTGACTGTTTGTATCTGGTTTGTTGTGTATCTTGGTTTGTTGTGTATCTGGTTTGTTGTGTATCTGTATCTGTTTGTATCTGTGTATTGTGTATCTGACTGTTGTGTATCTGGTTGTTGTGTATCTGACTGTTGTGTATCTGGTTGTTGTGTATCTGGTTGTTGTGTATCTGGTTGTTGTGTATCTGATTGTTGTGTATCTGGTTGTTGTGTATCTGGTTGTTGTGTATCTGGTTGTTGTGTATCTGACTGTTGTGTATCTGGTTGTTGTGTATCTGACTGTTGTGTATCTGGTTGTTGTGTATCTGACTGTTGTGTATCTGGTTGTTGTGTATCTGGTTGTTGTGTATCTGGTTGTTGTGTATCTGGTTGTTGTGTATGTGTATCTGTGTTGTGTATCTGGTTGTGTGTATCTGGTTTGTTGTGTATCTGGTTGTTGTGTATCTGTTGTTGTGTGTATCTGACTGGTTGTTGTGTATCTGACTGTTGTGTATCTGTGTTGTTGTGTATCTGTTGTTGTGTACTGTTGTGTATCTGGTTGTTGTGTATCTGACTGTTGTGTATCTGTTGTGTATCTGGTTGTTGTGTATCTGTGTATTGTTGTGTATCTGGTTGTTGTGTATCTGGTGTTGTTGTGTATCTGGTTGTTGTGTATCTGGTTGTTGTGTATCTGTACTGTTGTGTATCTGGTTGTTGTGTATCTGTGTTGTTGTGTATCTGGTTGTTGTGTATCTGGTTGTTGTGTATCTGGTTGTTGTGTATCTGGTTGTTGTGTATCTGTGTCTGTTGTGTGTATCTGGTTGTTGTGTATCTGTTGTGTATCTGACTGTTGTGTATCTGTTGTGTATCTGGTTGTTGTGTATCTGGTTGTTGTGTATCTGTTGTGTATCTGGTTGTTGTGTATCGTTGTTGTGTATCTTGTTGTGTATCTGTGTGTGGTTGTTGTGTATCTGGTTGTTGTGTATCTGAGTTGTTGTGTATCTGTCTGTTGTGTATCTGGTTGTTGTGTATCTGGTTGTTGTGTATCTGGTTGTTGTGTATCTGACTGTTGTGTATCTGGTTGTTGTGTATCTGGTTGTTGTGTATCTGGTTGTTGTGTATCTGGTTGTTGTGTATCTGGTTGTTGTGTATCTGACTGTTGTGTATCTGGTTGTTGTGTATCTGGTTGTTGTGTATCTGACTGTTGTTGTGTATCTGGTTGTGTTGTGTATCTGACTGTTGTGTATCTGTTGTGTATCTGGTTGTATCTGGTATCTGTTGTGTATCTTGTGTTGTTGTGTATCTGGTTGTTGTGTATCTGGTTGTTGTGTATCTGTATCTGTGTCTGTTGTGTATCTGACTGTTGTGTATCTGTGTTGTTGTGTATCTGTTGTGACTGTTGTGTATCTGGTTGTTGTGTATCTGGTTGTTGTGTATCTGACTGTTGTGTATTGTGTGTCTGTTGTGTATCTGGTTGTATCTGTTGTTGTGTATCTGTGTTGTGTATCTGGTTGTTGTGTATCTGCTGTTGTGTATCTGTTGTGTCTGTTGTGTATCTGACTGTTGTGTATCTGGTTGTTGTGTATCTTGTGTATCTGTTGTGTATCTGTTGTGTATCTGGTTGTTGTGTATCTGACTGTTGTGTATCTGGTTGTTGTGTATCTGGTTGTGTGGTTGTTGTGTATGACTGATCTGTTGTGTATCTGGTTGTTGTGTATCTGTTGTGTATCTGTTGTGTATCTGTTGTATTGTTGTGTATCTGGTTGTTGTGTATCTGGTTGTTGTGTATCTGGTTGTTGTGTATCTGACTGTTGTGTATCTGTGTTGTTGTGTATCTGGTTGTTGTGTATCTGTTGTGTATCTGTTGTGTATGTGTATCTGTTGTGTATCTGGTTGTTGTGTATCTGGTTGTTGTGTATCTGGTTGTTGTGTATCTGACTGTTGTGTATCTGGTTGTTGTGTATCTGACTGTTGTGTATCTGGTTGTTGTGTATCTGGTTGTTGTGTATCTGGTTGTTGTGTATCTGGTTGTTGTGTATCTGACTGTTGTGTATCTGGTTGTTGTGTATCTGGTTGTTGTGTATCTGGTTGTTGTGTATCTGACTGTTGTGTATCTGGTTGTGTGTATCTGTATCTGTTGTGTATCTGGTTGTTGTGTATCTGGTTGTTGTGTATCTGGTTGTTGTGTATCTGGTTGTTGTGTATCTGGTTGTTGTGTATCTGGTTGTTGTGTATCTGACTGTTGTGTATCTGGTTGTTGTGTATCTGACTGTTGTGTATCTGGTTGTTGTGTATTGATCCTGCAGCAGACAGAGCCACTCACCTGGAAGGGGATGACGATGTTGACCTTCTCTCCGACTCGAGTGATGAGTTTGGAGCGAAGATGACGAGGCACACGGATCTTTGGCGTCTCTGAACCAAACATATAAACACAAGAGTGAGAAGACCGTGGGTGGAGGAGGAAAAAAACATAGAAATCTGCTTTGTGTGAGGTCGAGACAAAGGAGAAGAAAAAAATCATTCGTATTACAACAGTGACCTCATTTATACTTCCAGACGTTTCTAATGTCAAGACGTCAAAACACAAGCAAGCACTAAAAGTCAGGGAGTACTGCCTTCAGTGGTTAAGTCATGTACAGCTCTGTTGCTAAAATTCCACATGTTCTGAGGAGATGGGCCAAATGACGGACAGAACAACGCAGAGGATGGACAAAAGCCTCCATGTGTATCTGTATGAGTCTAGAAAGTAGAGCAAGTTTGTTTCTGCTAACTCCACAGCTTTATATTTGAACATTTAGCGTCTGAAATAATTCTTGCGGCAGATGAACCGGAGAAATCGTCTAAACTAGTGTGGTATGTCTCACCCACGATCTCCCTGATGGTGACGGCCTGGCCCAGGACGGCCGGAGGGCTGCGTCCCGCCAGGTTCACGGCCACCACGCGAAACAGCATCTTCTCCCCCACGGGAAGCCCCTTCACCCGGTACTGGGTCTTCTCCACTGGGACCTCGTTCGCCTGCACCCACTGGTCCGCTGGGGGCGCCCACGAGCACCGAGAGGACAGAGAGAGAGAGAGGGGGAAGAGAAAGAAAATTGGAAATTGGGAGGACGGGGTGAGAAAGAGAAAGACAGAGAAAGAGTTTTGTGAGGGATGATACAGAGGGGGAGACGGGAGAAAAGGGAGAGAGACAGACAGACAGTCGAGGAATACAAAGGGATAGAGAGAGAGAGGAGAACAGAGAGGAGGAAACGAAAGAGCAAGAGAAAGAAAGAAAGAAAATGAGAGAGAAGAAATGGGAGAAAGAGTGGGAGACATACAGGGAGCAAGGTGGGGAGATAGAGAAAGAAGCAAAGGAAAGGGAAAGATAGAGGGGGAAGATAACACAAGAGACAAAGAGAGAGAGAGAGAGAAAGAGAAGCAAATTGAAGGGAAGAAATAGAGCGAGAGAGATAGAAGCAAAGGGAAGGGAAAGGGAGAGAAAGAGGGAAGATAAAGATAGAGAAAGAGAGCGAGAGATAGAGAGTGAGAAGCAAAGGGAAGGGAAAGAGAGAGAGAGAAAGGGAAGATAGAGCGAGAGAGAGAAAGAGAGAGAAGTAAAGGGAAAGCAAAGACAGAGGGAAGATAAAGCGAGAGATAAAGAGAGAGAGAAGCAAAGGGAAGGTAAACAGAGAGAAAGAAGATGAAGAGAGGGAAAGAGATAGAGAAAGAGAGAGAGAAGCAAAGGGAAGGGAAAGAGAGAAAGAAAATGAAGAGAAGAAAAAAGAGAGAGAAAGAGAAGCAAAGGGAAGGGAAAGAAAGAGAGAGGGGGAGAGGGAAGATAAAGAGAGAGAGAGAAGCAAAGGGAAAGGAAAGAGAGAGGGGGAAGATAACACAAGAGACAAAGAGAGAGAGAGAGAGAAAGAGAAGCAAATTGAAGGGAAGAGATAGAGCGAGAGAGATAGAGAAAGAGAGAGGGAAGCAAAGGGAAGGGAAAGAAAGAGAGAGGGGGAGAGGGAAGATAAAGAGAGAGAGAAAGAGAGAGAAAGAGAAGCAAAGGAAAGAAAGAGAAGAAGAGAGAGGGAGGGGAGATAAAGAGAGAGAGAAAGACAAAAAAGCAAAGAGAAGGGAAAGAGAGAGAGGGGAGACAGAGCGACAGAGAGAAAGAGAGAGAAGCAAAGGGAAGGGAAAGAGAGAGAGAGAGGTGAGAGTAGAAGATATTTTTAGAGCAGGAGTCGTGCAGTCTGGTCGAGGCTCTCCAGGTTTTATTGTAATTTTATGTTCTTTTATTTTGCATTATTCAGAACTTCTGAATGACTTTTTGGACACACTAAAGTCTGAGTACTTCACATTTTACAGCTTAAAATACTGGACAGAGGAAACAAGAACAAGTCACTCAGCCTCATTTCTGAACATAGAAACGTATAAAACATATAACGCAAATTGAATGGGGTTAAAAGCAATAGCTGTTAGCTTCAAGGTTAAGATGTAAGAGGCCAGTGGTGTACTGAAATGATCTGGGTGAGCAAAAAACAGTATGAACACAGAGGAGCGCTTCCTAGATTACCACCTAATGACATCACGAGGTGGAATAATATCATGAAGAAGCCGGAGCTGCAACAAGTAAACAGCAGAATAAAGCGATAGTGAGCCACAAAATGTATTTATTCAACCTTCTACAGCTCAAATCAGCATAGTATTTGTGACAGGCTTATGTGTACTGTCTAGCTCTAATTAGAAAGCATTTCAGGAAGTGCACAGTTAGCATGCTAGTTGTTGTTGTTGTTCGCTTTAATGTCACTGCAAAACTCAGCTCTGTTCAGTGAGAGTTGTGGAATAAACACTGAAAAAAACTGAATAATTAGGATGCTAAGAATGCGAAAGGAATAAATTTGGACTTCTGCAAATTGTTTAAAAGGAACTAGTTGTGTTTTTCACGTTTTTTGCGACACCTAAATCCCCTTGACCCCCCCCCCATATCAGTGTAGCAGTATATGAAAAGAGTACACAGACGTACTTCCTTCCACGCAGTACTCGATGATGTACCCCTGGATGCCTCCTGCTCCGATCTTCTCCGGTTGGCGCCACTTCAGAGCACAGGTGGTGTCAGTGACGTCATCCACCTGCAGACGAGTCGGCTCACTGGTGGGGGCTGAGCAGGGACAGAAGTGCAGTGAGACCGTGGTTTATACTGCGCTTATTGTACAGGTGCATCTCAGAAAATTAGAATATCATGAAAAAGTTCAATGTTTTTTATGCTATTATGGTGTTCTTTTTTCGGACCAAGAGTTTGTTTTCATACGGGACGGTTTCAGCTGCTCAGAGTGGTCCTTAGGAAGTGGGACTGTAGATGGAGCTGTCGTCCTGCCTTCACCGGTAGGAAGACCGCACCAAAACCTGTATAAATCAGCTGAGCAGACATGTCACAGCAACATCATGTGACCACTCTGAGGAAGAGCGCAGGGAGCAGTCCAAACTGTCAGCTATGAAAGCAAACTCTTGATCTGAAAAAAGAACCTACCGTATTTTTCGGGCTACAAGTCACACTTTTTTTCATGGTTTGGGTGTTTCCTGCCACTTATACTCCAGTGCGACTTATATATTAAACTTTTCACTCTAACAGCTGCGAGAGGCTTCTGTCACTCTGCGCCCTCTACTAAGCATGTCTTCTGCAGAAAAAGCCTCTGTCCTGCTGCAAGTAGTGAAGTGTTCAGCCAAAAAAAGTAATTGAGCAGCAGAAAGAAAGTTGGGAGTCAGCGAGAAACTTGTAAGGGACTGGCGAAAAGCGGGGATGGAGAACAGCTTCACAGCAACCATGAAACTTTCCTGAAGTCACTGGATGGGTGGACAAAGCCTGAACTTCAGCGACAACTGAAACCATTCTGTCGGGATTCAGAAAGGCTGGAATAATTCTAAATGGAACTGATGCTGAGTCTGACAACAGCTACTAAGAAGAGGAAGCGACTTATATATGTTTTTTCTTCTTCATTATGCTTTTTTGGCTGGTGCGACTTCTACTCCAGAGCGACTCATCATTATACACTGTAAAAACCTTAGCTATGTTCATTTATTTATTACAGCCTATAAATTATCCTAGACTTATTTCACTAAAAAGACAGAAAATAGCATAATATGGGCCTTTTAACAGCACGAGATCATTGCCAGTCAAACGATTCAGAACGACTCAGATGCCATTCCCCTGTGAGGTGCAGTACCGATGGGCATGAAGGGTTTGGAGGTGGCGCTGGGCTCGGAGACCCCGATCCCGTTGACGGCGTACACTCTCATCTCGTACAGAACGCCGTCAATCATCTTCTTGGCCTCGTACGTTGTCGATTCAAAAACATCAAAGTTGAGTTTGGTCCAACGCGAGGAGCCCACTTTCTTCCTCTCCATCAGATAACCTGGAACACAGAATATACAGAAAGGAGAAAAGTCACTGCCAGTTTTCATTGTTTCCATGTGTTTGAGGAAAATCACATATTGTGTAAGCAGTTCTGGAGGTCAAAATAAGTCTGCTGTGCACATAGACTGTATAAAGAAATGGACTAAGGGAGTTTGACGTCTCCCGTAGAGTTCAGCTCCAAACAAAAGAAGCTCACGAGGTTAGCAGTTACAGGGGTGAATCACAGAAACATAATAAAATGTGGAAGGTGAACCCAATGTGGACAGAAGAGAGTCTGGAGAGAGTGATGTTCTGGAGTGAATGAACTGAATGATGTTTTTGATAAGGATGATGATTTTAAGATGCTGAGAGAACTGGGAGTGAATGATGATACAGAATTGTTACAATGCTCAAACATTATAAAGACATTCTCTATGTATGTTTGATTTTATGAACTATAACATCAACCTGCCCTGGGACGACGGGTGGAAATTAGCTCTGGTGCTATAACCTGGTACAATGCATCTCTCCTGTTAAGGTTCATGTAGATTGTAACCCTAAACTATGGTTTTCAATGGCCTGTGCTCACTGGCACATAGAGCCAAAAATGATTTTTACTTCTACATTACGTCCTAAATACTGGCCTTACGCCACAAACGGTGTGATGTTAGAAATGTGCAGTTCTGACTAGGGATGTAACAATAACTGAAATATCGTGATATTGTATCATCAAAGTTCTCACACAATATATCGAATTATAAGTCTCTTTGCTTAAATTAAGAGTTATGGTGCAGCAATAGATTGAACTACATAGACCATGATCCTTTGCTCCATTTCAGTGCAGACTAGAAGAAGAAATAACAGTTTTAACACTTTTAAGTCTTTGTGAAAGAATTTCTGTGTTATTTTAAATATTATGAATCATTTAAAATCATAATCATTTGTGTGTATGATTAAAGTTATCAACAATTGCGTTTTTTGGGTTTTTCCATATGTATATCATATGTCCTAGTACAAGAACTGCTGACTCATTAAGCTCATCTACTGAGTCACCCATGAGAAGACAGCTAAGGGTTTTTTCCCTCATGTGGTTAGCATAAGTTTTTGGGAGAAAACTGACCAAATTGTTTATCACCTGGAGCCTGTAATCAAGTGTGAAATGTGAGGGTGGTTTAGACTAAAAGATTGTTAGTATGTGATCATGTAAACACTGTGTGATATGATGTCATGTATTGTACCTTATCTGTGTCATCATTTTGAATAAATGGGTGTTCGGAGAGTTGTGGGGCAGAGTAGGCCAGAGCGTAGCCAGGGGCAGGCAGTCCCCAACTCTCCTTGCGCAAGTATTACTTTTAACTGTCTCGTTTTGGTGTGTCTTATTTAATGTAATTTGACGTCTTAGGGTAAATTCCCTGACAGTCTTAGTTCTTTGGATTAAGTCTTGTCAAGGCATTTTAAGAGGAAAAAGTAGCATATTCACACTTTTGTGAACCTCCACAAAATACCACAATAAATATCGTACAGTGAGGTGTATATCATGAAAATATCGTACCGATAGATTTGGATATTGTTACATCCTTTATCGTGAGCCTCCCCACCATATTGTGAGCTTTCCTATGATGTCGCAATAAATATCGTACCGTGAGGTTCATACTGTGATGATATCGTATCGTGAGACTTTGATATCGTTACACCCCTAGTTCTGACCAACTGAAAGCAGGCTCAGAGCAACTCTAACTTTTAGGTGCTTTGACGATTTAAACATTATAAAAGTTCATATTGTTAAAATATAAAAGAATCCCTACAAAATCTATTCTTTATGAAAACTATCGACGCCCTGTCAGCTGAACACGAGCAGTTTGATTTCACAAAAAATACATTGTGTTTTATGGGACAATTCTTTCTGGGCCGGAGCTCCCGGGAGCTGCAGTACCTGAAGCGGCCACTAGTCGGTCTCACTCACGGACAGAGGGGGAGAGTCTTATCCAGTTCTTATTATAGATCTATGGGGTGAATTTGGAGCCAAGTTCCATATTTGTAATTCTGACTGTGAATGTCATAACAACCAAAACAGCTGTCAATCAACCTGTTGCTAACGCTAGTGGGAGCGACCTCGGCGAAAGCGAGCAGCTCGTATCTTGCCTATATCTTGATTCACGGACAAAATAGCAAAATAAAAACACCAGAATCACGTAGAGCAGGTTAATACGAACATTTTAGGACCAAAATGACGAGGCTCAGAGCAGCAGTAACAGAGAGTGGTAACAGTTTTTCAATGTCAAGTAATTTGGAATCGATGGAGCTGGAGGAGTCTGTAAATGTGTATTGAGTGTGTGTGTAAAGCGCTTTATTGTCCGAGTGCGTGTTAGCATGCTAGTTATTTTTTTAGCAGTGATGTGATGACAAAACTCTGGCCTCTGAAAGTTGCAAAAAGTGCTCATAAACTCACGTGGTGAATAATTAGGATGCTCTGAATGCATAAGGTAAGTAACTTTGGACGACTGCAAACTATTGCCACAGCTACAAAATATTGCTTCAAAATGTGCAGTAGCTTGGGTAAAGCTCGGGAGACGTCTCAGGAGCACTTTAGGTACATTTGTTTATCATGTTTAAAGAGTTTCACAGCAGAGCCTCAGGTGTTGTACCTTTAATAGGGACCCCTCCATCGTACGGAGGGGCGTCCCATGTGATCACAGCAAAGTCCTCCCCCACTGAAGAACAACGCACGTTCTCTGGAGGCTCAGGCACATCTGCAGAGAGAGAGAACAGAGGGAGAGAGGAGATAGAAAGAGAGAAAGAGAAAGAGATAGAAACAGGGAGAAGAGGAGAGGAGACAGCGGAGGAGAGAGACGAGACAGAGTGGGACGGACAAGATGGAGAAGAGGGAGAGAGGAGATATAGAGGAGAGGAAACACAGAGGAAAGAAGACAAAGGAAAAAGAGAGTCAGACAGAGGAGGACAGGAGAAAGAGGGACACAGAAGAGGTGAGATGGGGACAGAGAGAGGGAGGGGGGAAGAAGTACAGGAGTGAATTGAGGATACAACAATCTGGATAAAAGCATTGGTGGGCTGTTAGAGTAAAGCTCCATACAGTGTTCCACAGAAATCTGTTACATCTGATTAAATGAAGATTAAAATGACTTGAGTTCTTACTACATGTCTGGATGTAGGTCATTTAAATGTTTGGTTTATTTCTGTTTACAATGGTATTATTGGATTTCTTATTTCACCCGTATATACACCACCTGCCTCTCCCACATATACACCACCACACCACACCACCATATTACACACCGCCTTACATATAGGCTGCCCGCCTCGCCCACATATACTCTGCCCTCCACACCTCGCTCGCATATACACCACCCGCCTCACCCACATATACACCACCCACCTCACCTGCATATACACCACCCCACCTCACCTCACCTGCATATACACCACCACCTCACCTCACCTGCATATACACCACCCACCTCACCTCACCTGCAATATACACCACCCGCCTCACCCACATATACACCACCCACCTCACCTCACCTGCATATACACCACCCACCTCACTCGCATATACACACCACCGCCTCATCTCACCCGCATATACACCACCCACCTCACTTGAATATACGCCGCCCGCCTCACCCACATATACACCACCCGCCTCACTTGACATATACGCCGCCCGCCTCACCTCACATATACACCACCCACCTCACTTGAATATACGCCGCCCGCCTCACCCACATATACACCACCCACCTCACTTCGCATATACGCCACCCGCCTCACCCACATATACACCACCCGCCTCACTTGAATATACGCCACCCGCCTCACCCACATATACACCACCCGCCTCACTTGAATATACGCCGCCCGCCTCACCCACATATACACCACCCGCCTCGCCTGCATATACAACACCTGCCTCACCTCACCCATATACGCCGCCCCCGCCTCACCCACATATAGACCACCCACCTCACTCGCATATACACCACCCACCTTGCCCACATATACACCACTCACACTCACTCATCATATATACACCACCCACCTCACTCGCATATACACCACCTGCCTCGCCTGCATATACACTACCTGCCTCATCTCACCCACATATACACCACCCGAATCGCCACACAATACAGGAGGAACAGGAACCTCCATTACCGCACAACAAGACTCAACAGCTTCATCCACCAGGCTGTTAGGATGCTGAACTCTCCTCTCTAACCACCAGGTGACCAGGAAGCTACAAATCTGCATCTCCCCCAAAGAACACTTGGACTTTGCCATTTAGTATTATTTATTTATACGCTTGGAAGTGAGAAACACAATTTAGATTCTTCATATGTTTCGTATGAAGAATTGACAATAAAGATTTTAAATTTGAATGATTTTTTTCAGATGTGAAACAAAAGTGTTCCATAAGTGTAAAAATGAATATTCAGAACATGTCAAATATTTTTTATAATTTAAAGATGCACTATGTAACTTTTCAACAGTGGATTTGTGGCATTAAACCAGTGTAAACATGTCTTCTTATACTGAGCAGGCTCACCTCTCCACAGATCTGACCTGTAACTTGACACCTGTACGTGGCGTGACCTGCGTATCTCTATGGGGAAGACAGAGTACTCTGCTCTGCAAAAGTTACCTAGTGCACCTTTAATATGACAACATCATGTATAGATTTGTTTGGTGAGGTCATGTTTTCTGCAGTAACATGATTTGGTCTTTTATCGAAACCAAGACATGTTCTGTTCTCTTGTTTTCACTATTCACATATTTTTATTTATTTGAATTATTTCTTGTTCTGCTGACTTGACTTAACTAAAACAGTATATAGGTCGTATCCATTTGAAAATCATGTACAAATGTTGTGACTGACCCACGACCTTGACGAAGAGCTCGGCGTGGTCCTCTCCGGCCGGGTTGGTCACCGTGATGGCGTACGGCCCCTCGTCGCTCTTCTTCGCTTCCTCTATCACGAAACTGCACAGCCCCTTCTTCTTCTCCACACGCACTCTGCCCTCAGCCTCCGAGATCACCTGCACCAGAGAGGGACAGCGCGGAGATGAAGAGGAAACCAAACGAAACTGACCCAAACTGACCAGCAGGTTGAGACGGTGTAATCCTTCATTCATCCAAGTGCAGTGATGTGAAGAACACTTTGAAAATGAATGACCAAATACTGAATACCTGCATGAAAGGGCCCATGTTTTATTATTTTCTGATGTTATAATGTAGTTTGATTATCACAAACATACCTTTCATTCATATGGAATTTCCAGTTTCTACTGAACTAAAGGTAAAAGGAGCTGTTAACTTGAAAATTACAGCTTCATGAGGTGGAACAGATTCTGAGCTTTGGAGATATAGACAAACTAATAATAAAGGGTTACTCAAACATGTGTGACTGTTTTCTAATGGCTTAAAGCTCACAAGAGTCAGTTGTGAGTAAAAGGACCTTTAACTACCAGATTGTGGATTTGTTGACCTGGTTTATGGTTCATATCTCTGCAATTTTGGCATTTTCAGATGAAACCAAAACTGTCTCAAAGTGAAAGGTCTCCTTCGTCAGCACAAATGAACAAAGAGACACCAAAAGTCACCAGTTTTGTTTGTGAAGCCAGTCCCAAACAAATAATGATAACATTTTATATGATATTGTAGTTTGGATATTTCTTTCTTCTCCTGTGTCTGCGTAAGGGAGGCAAAAAATTGAAATTCAGGATTTGGAAGAAAAAAGACAGGAGAAAATAATGATATATAATAATAATATTGAATCAGTTTTATATAGCACTTTTCTGGACACTCAAAGACACTTTACCAGAGGTGGGGACTTGCAAGTCGTGACTTGGACTCGAGTCAGACTTGAGTCACTATTTTTAGGATTTGAGACTCGACTTGATGAAATGGGACAAAGACTTGAAGGTAATTGACTTGGGATTTGACTCGCACTTGAGGCCTGTGACTTGGTAAGACTTGAGAAGCACTTTTAAATCTGAATTCTTTCTATTCTGACTCTGATTGTGGTTAAGATCTTGTCAAGACATTTCACCGCAAAAAATAAAATCTAGCCAAATTAAGATGACTTGAATTAAGAAAGTTTTACAATAATTTGAGTAAATTTTCACTTATCTTCAGTAAACTGATCTGCCAATGGAAGTCTTTTTGCATTTAGAATATGAAAACACATCTTGCTACACTTAAAATAAGAAAAACAACAACTTTTTGTAGTTAAAATAAGAAACAAAATTCGAACGTTGCTTGAATTAGAAAAAACACACTTATTCCATTGATAGAATCTACTCAAATAAAGTCAAATATTCTTAATTCAATATATAATAATAATAATATTACTTTTTGCAGTGTTAAAAAGGAAAAATTAGCATTTCTACAACTCTTCTACACTCTATAAGTACTCATATATAAATATACCATGACTTTTTAAGTACAATTTATCTTAAAATTCATATAAAGCGCTAAAATCTAAGCTATAATTGGTGCTTTGGTTTAAAGACTTGAAATGACTCAAGCTCAAAGACGACTTGGACTTGACTTGGGCTTATTGGCCAGTGACTCGAGACTCGACCTGGACTTGCCTGTATTTGACTTGGGACTTGACTCGGACTTGAGGTCAAAGACTTGAGACTTACTTGAGACTTGCAAAACAACGACTTGGTCCCCCCTCTGCGCTTTACAGAGCATTATTCATTCTCTCCACAGTCAGTGGTGGTAAACTACAGTTGAAAACTGGGACTATGTTGCCTGTTCAAAGAAAAATCTATTTTGAAAGATGAAAACCATTTGCAATCAACTGCCAGGGAGCCGTTCCTCTGTCATAGTTCAGCATTTGAGTGAAAGAACGGCTAACTGGGCAGGGCTAAAACTTGTATTCTTCACTCATGCTTCATAATCTGGTACAGGCCCTTTAACGCGTCTTGTTGCCCCCGGTTACAGCGAGCTCCCATGATGCCCCTGACCTCCTCGCCCCTCTTCCAGCAGACGGTGGGCTCCGGCTCTCCGCTGATCTCCACGTCCAGCCTCAGCTTGTTTCCGGCCACAACAGTGATGGAGTTCTTGTTTCCTCCGCTGCTCGTGTCCAGGTGGATCTTTGGAGGATCTAAGTGACAAACAGGAGAGAAATGTGAAGTGTCTTGCCCAAGGACACACCAGCAGTTTGCACAGTCTGTAACTGGGACTGGCCGATCACCTTTTGTTCAGGATGCATTTTGTAAATATATTTTAAATAGTGCCAGATTTTACTTCTGGTGTCATTTATCACAGGCGTCTTGTGCATTAAATGTCCTTTATTAATGCAAAACTGACTCTTTAGCTTTAATAATGTTATAATGTCCCTCTGTAATCTGTGTATCTTTCAATTATAATTTTTTTTCAAAATAAAACCAAAAATAAGAAAACAAACAAACAACAAAAAAATTCTTTATTATTTCTCTTCAAAACCAAAATGAAAAAACAAAAGGATAACAATTTGTTTTTTCAGTTTTCGCTTTTGTTTTTAAATGAATTTCCCGTTTCCCGTTTTCGTGACTTAAATTGTGATGCCGGATTTTTGCGCCGCATATGGACTGAACCAGCACTAAAACAGGACTAAATCAGGTCTAAACCAGAACTAAACCAGGACTGAACCAGAACTGAGTGTTGGGACGGACAAGACTGAGACTGAGACGAGGACCAGACCTGGACGGTTACCAGGACTGAGACCGGGACCAGGACGGAGACCGGGACTGAAACCGGGACTGAGAACCGGACCAGACCGGGACTGGGACCTGAACTCAGACCGGGACTTACACCAGGACTGAGACCGAGACTGAGACCGGGACTTGACCAAGACTGAGACCGGGACCAGAACAGGACGATTACCAGGACTGAGACCAGGACTGAGACTGGGACCAAACCAGGACTAAGACCGGTTTAGTCCTGGTTTAGTCCTGTTTTAGTCCTGGTTCAGTTCTGGTTCAGTCTGTATGAGGCACTGCAGTTTAAGTCACAGAAACAGGAAACAGTTGTTATCAGTTTTTTCCATTATTCATTTAAATGCAAAATCAAAAACTGAAAAAACGACTCGTTATCTGTTTTTTCATTTTGGTTTTGTAGACAAATAATGAAGAAAATACTTGTTTTGTTGTTGTCTTATTCTTGGTTTTATTTAATGAAACTAAACAATCTAATAATCTAAATGATTCAAGTGAAGGTGTATGGAGTTTAAAAACACAGTGGAGCACTTCCTGTATCACCACATGACATCATAAGGTGGAACTGAGTGTTTTCAGTTTGAGAGAAGAACTCAGCCTAAATACACAGGGTTTGTGTGTTAAACATGTGTGAATGAAAAAAAAACACAACTCCAGGTCCAACATTACAACATAGATCGGAAAATATCGCCCTTTAAGACCAAAAAAATCCTGTTCCTAAATACATTTACCTGACCAATGAGCACATATAAAAGATTCTAATTTAGTTTTTAAATATAATAACGTCTATACTAAATATTTGCATAAGCTGGTTGTAACGTTGTCACTTCAGGACACATCGAAACACAAGCATGACTCATTCTCCTGTTTAGATATTTACTGTTTTGCAAAATGTGTAACAATTTCACAGATAAACGAAGATTAAACAGGATTATTGTAGAGTATTGAGACATGTGGAGTGACAGCTGCTGACAGAGCCCGGTGGAGCTGTTTGTCTCTGGTTGAACAGTGAATAGAGAGTGCGCCTATAATTCACTGTAACTCTGATATTAAACAGGCCCAGAGGGAAATCAGACTATTAATATTGCGCATGTTTAAACAAATGGACCAGCTTATGCGGATTCAGTGAAACAAAACACAGGGAGCAGGAGAAAATACTGCAAAATGACTTAATTTTATAGTAATAATAATAATACTGCATCAACTTATATAGTGCTTTTTTGGAAACTCAAAAACACTTTATAAAAAGAATAGGAAGCGGCGCTGTAGAAAACGGGGGGAGAATCATGGGGGGAAGGTCAGATTGAACAGGTGAGTTTTTAGCAGTGATTTGAAGTGCTGCAGTGAGTTCCTGATGGATTGTGGGAGTGAGTTCCAGAGGGAGGGGGCAGCGGCGAAGGCTTGGTCCCCCAAGGTTTAGTGCTTTGTCCTGCTGAGGGGAGTAAGGAGTCGGAGTGATCTGAGGCGGCGGGTGGGACCGTGCTGACTAGGGCTGTGCAAAAATATTAAAATATCATTATATCTTCTTGTTTAATGTGATGATACAGTATTGATATTGTGGGCTGCTGTATCGATATATCACCAAGAGTATGTTTTGATATATTTTACATTATTTTGTTGCAGTACTACAGTTTTGTAGTCTGATTCATCAGCCAGTTTCACTTTGTGAAAACCGTCTGACCTTGCAGCATTAGGATTCGTTCGCTCGACAGTAGTCGGATACTTTTTTAAATTTAACTAATCGCTGCTATTTGGTCATGATGTAATGCGCAGGAACGCTCAGTGGTGTCCAAATAACTGCAGACACAACAGCAAACAAAGCAGAGAGTGAACATGTCTGTCAACGATCATTGTCGTTTCTGCAAATGAACTTGCAAATTAAAGGTGCAATAAAAAATGCAAAGTTTGTATTTAACAAAGGACGTCTAAAGGAGGACAGCGTATGTAGTCTGCTATCGCAACTTGGGTTGGTTCAGCTCTTTGCTGATTGGCTGGTGTGCGGTCTACAACTTCTGGGGTCACTGGAGAGAAATGAAATCGGGCGGAGGCACTAGGTGGTGCCAGTCTGGCTAACAGTTTTGTTGCTTGTACAGATACAGGACATTTAAAAACAAGCATTCTTACTATGGGTTGCCTCTCCACAGATCTGACCTGTAACTTGGCCTGGAGGCATCATTGCATGAAGATAAATTAATTTAATGTATGTAATACTGTGTAACATTCCAGGCAGAGAAATAACCATGGAGACAACAGATGATGAACCCTCCACTGGAAAAGTTAGACAGAGCAACTTTACAAAACATATCTTAAAGCTGCATTATGTAACTTTTTGGTCACATTCTTTTTTTCATTACGTCATCGCTCTGCTTCGAATGTTCCAAAGTATGACATTAAACAGGTCTACATTTACATTTATTCAATTACAGGTGGTTTTATTGCGCAAAAATACCTAAAAAAACCAGGCATTCCCACTGTGCCTCTCCACAGATCTGACCTGTAACTTGGTCTGGTTTGGTCTCCATGAAGTTAGAAAGGCTTACTACCATCCTGGGAAACATTTCAAAGTAATAACATCTCCACAGAGAAAAGGATTTGACGGACCCTCCACCACAAAAGTTACACAATGCAGCTTTAACTTAACTTTAACTCACCTTGTCTCGGTTTGTACTCAATCTTGATTTCTGTTGGCAAAAATAAGGAATAAAAAATGATTATAATTGTAAAATATTCAAAACATGATGCTAAAAGACTTCTCCTCTTACCTAAGAAGTTGAGTTTGGCTGAGAGCGTGAGCGCGTGTCCATCGGGTACAAAAGTGTAATCGCCAGCGTCACCGGGTTTCACGTCATCGATGGTGAGCTTGTGCACCCTGGAGAAAAATACGCAAATGTTACTGTACCGATGACTAATTATGTAAAAAACATTTCCCAGGGCAACCGTGAGGCAGTAGGGGGAGGAAAGCTGAATCATAATATTTAAATGCACTTTTTTCTAAGCATTGCAGACAATAACACTACGCAATTTTATATGATTACGCACAAGGTAAGAGAACAGGGTTTGTCTACAACAAATGAAACACTGGGTCTGAGACGGGAGATCTGATATTTAGTAGCATATATTCTAAACCAGGTCTAACCAAGGACTAAACCAGGTCTAACCAAGGACTAAACCAGGTCTAAACAAGGACTAAACCAGGTCTAACCAAGGACTAAACCAGGTCTAACCAAGGACTAAAGGTCTAAACAAAGACTAAACCGGGTCTAACCAAGGACTAAACCAGGTCTAAACAAGGACTAAATCGGGTCTAAACAAGGACTAAATTGGGTCTAACCAAGGACTAAAGCAGGTCTAACCAAGGACTAAACCAGGTCTAAACAAGGACTAAATCGGGTCTAAACAAGGACTAAACCAGGTCTAACCAAGGACTAAAGCAGGTCTAAACAAGGACTAAACCAGGTCTAACCAAGGACTAAACCAGGTCTAACCAAGGACTAAACCAGGTCTAAACAAGGACTAAATTGGGTCTAACCAAGGACTAAACCAGGTCTAACCAAGGACTAAAGCAGGTCTAAACACGGACTAAATCGGGTCTAAACAAGGACTAAACCGAGGTCTAACCAAGGACTAAAAAACAGGTCTAAACAAGAACTAAACGAGGTCTAACTGAGGACTAAACCAGGTCTAAACAAGGACTAAACAGGTCTAAACTAAGGACTAAAGCTAGTCTCAACAAGGAGTAAACCAGGTCTAACTGAGGACTTAACCAGGTCTAAACAAGGACTAAAGGTCTAACCAAGGACTAAACAGGTCTAACCAAGGACTAAAGCAGGTCTAACCAAGGACTAAAGCAGGTCTAAACAAGGACTAAACCAGGTCTAAACAAGGACTAAACCAGGTCTAACCAAGGACTAAACCGGGTCTAAACAAGGACTAAACCAGGTCTAACCAAGGACTAAAGCAGGTCTAAACAAGGACTAAATCAGGTCTAAACAAGGACTAAACCAGGTCTAACAAGGACTAAACCAGGTCTAACCAAGTAATAAATCGGGTCTAAACAAGGACTAAACGAGGTCTAACCAAGGACTAAACCAGGTCTAAACAAGGACTAAACGAGGTCTAACTGAGGACTAAACCAGGTCTAACAGAGGACTAAACCAGGTCTAAACAAGGACTAAACAGGTCTAACTGAGGACTAAACCAGGTCTAAACTGACTACTAAAACAGGTCTAAACAAGGACTAAACGAGGTCTAACTGAGGACTAAACCAGGTCTAACTGAGGACTAAACCAGGTCTAAACAAGGACTAAACAGGTCTAAACTAAGGACTAAAGCTAGTCTCAACAAGAAGTAAACCAGGTCTAACTGAGGACTTAACCAGGTCTAAGTAAGGGCTAAATCAGGCCTAAACAAGGCCTAAACAGGTCTAAACTAAGGACTAAAGCTAGTCTCAACAAGGAGTAAACCAGGTCTAACTGAGGACTTAACCAGGTCTAAACAAGGACTAAAACAGACCTAACCAAGGACAGGTCTAACTGAGGACTAACACAAATCTAGATGAGTTCTGAAACAGGACAGAGCCTGTTTGAAGTGCTGACCTAAACGATGGCTAAACCAGGACTAACCTGGGACTAATCTAGCTTTAAACCAACCATATCTAACTCAAGACTAAAATATAAACAGGACAGGAGCAGAGCCTGAGGAGCAGACAGGAGCAGACAGGAGCAGACAGGTGCAGACAGGTGCAGACCGGAGCCGAGTACCTGCCGATGTGTGATATCTTGATGCGGTTGCTGGGCTGCACCTCCACTCCATCTTTGAACCACTTTCCAGTCACTTTCTCGTCTGAAACTTCACACCTGAACACAGCCTGCTCCGAGGACTTCACCGTGAGGTCCGCGATGCTCTGGAGGACCTGCAGCTCTGCCTCTGAAAACAAAACAAAAGGAGGGCAAGGTACACTTTAGTGTTTTACTTTTATTAAAGAAAATCTGTCCTCTGCATTTGACCCATCCATCTTGTCTCAATCTCGGCTGTCTAAAGTCTCGGTCTTGTCTCAGTCTCGGGACCCTGTGGTCTCGGACAGGTCTTGGTCTCGATTAGAATGGTCTTGACTACAACATCAAACACCCTTTAACGCCACCAGGGCAACCTTTCAGGAGTAAGTACAGTACCCAGATCTTGAGCTGCTCTTGGTCAGGAGGACTACCAAAGCTGGGGGATCGTGTACAGTGACTTTAAAGGTAATATATTAGGCAAAATGAACTCTTGTGAGCTTTAAGCCATGTTAAAATGTTGTTTCCTTTTCTCCAAGGGTGTAGGTTTGCATAGGGACATTGGGGACATTTCACAATCAATATTTGGGGAAGACAAAATACTCCCTACCAATATTTGCCATTTTATTTTAATAAACAAAAAGATAAATGTATTCCGACATTTTTCCAGACTCAATAGTATTAATTGAACACATCTGAGTTCACATTTTGTTTATTAGACGTTCTGAGATGTATTCAGTGATGTGACAACAGGGTTACTCCTGCCGCTGTTTCATTGGCTGCAACAGAGTGATGTCATTAGTGGAGCCAGGAGCTTAAACTAGGGAAGCGGCAGGACAGGGCCGCACCTGAAGATGTTGACTTGAGCAGGCGTGAGTGAAGACACTGCACCAAACTTTGACAAACTTTTCAGGAGGAACTTAATTGGCTTCATCTTCAATTAAACTTGTCTTGAGTGAAGTCGCCGCGGAAAAAGAGCGACTATCACCACAAGTGCACCTCCCAAACGGATGGAACGGACGGAAAAACGTATGGACATGTTTCACCAATAAGCAAAGGGAAATCTGCTACAAACTTCCACATCGCTGTTATCCAGTAAAGAATCATTTTAGAAGGGCAATGGACACAAGCTGTACATTTTGCGAACTGAAAAATCAAACCACCTCTCACTTATTTTAGAAATGCTCAGACTCTGTGCGTTTTTGGAAAGAATTCATAAAACAGAGTTGGTTTAGAGTTGGGTTTGGTTTTCAAGTTGGACTTAACCTCTGCCTTACTAGGAGATTTTGAAAATAGAAGTGATCCTGTAAATTTAATTATAACCCTAGGAAAACGTTTTATTTTTAAAGCAAAAAAACAATTCTCACTTAATATTAATTATTTAAAAAAATATATTTATCAGTACTTAACCTGGGAAGGTTATACAATTGAAACAGACAAAGAGAAAAAAAAGTATAAAAAGAGATGGGAAGTTCTTAAATACCTGGGAGAAAATTAGTATGTGATATATATGTCAGTCATAAAGATTTAAAGTAGGGATCTATATAATATTCATATATCTACTATTGGGGACTACTGACTACTACTACTACTACTACTACTGACACTACTACTACTACTACCAATGATAATGATAATAATAATAATGAAATATTATTGTTGTAATTATTGTAATTAATAGTAGAGATAATAATAGGTATTATGGATGTAATAATAATTAATAATAATAAAAATAGTAATAGTGATGAAAGGTAGTGGAAATAATAGTAGGAATAATAGTGATAATAATAACAGTAATAATAATTAATAAAAAGAAATGCCTTTAGGGTTATGTTTTTTGAGATTGTGACATATGGTGAAAGATGATGAGGGGAACTGATGATGGTGAAAATAAATATTAGTTTGAGTATAGGGACTAATACATTTAAAAAATTATAATTAAAAAAAAAAAAAAAAAAAAAAAAAAAAGGGAAGGAAGAGAGACAAAAGGAACTTCAATTATAAATTGGCCGCAGTGTATCAATGTTCGGGAGCCTAGCGGTGTATTTATGTTGCACTATCACATTTATATTGTTTTGACTTTGTGTCGTGTGGGTGGTTGGGGGGAAATGGGGGGGCTTTTTTGTATTTGTTGTGGTGTTGTGGTTATTGCTTTATGTTTTTGTTTTTATGTTGAATATTGCAATTGTTAAACGTTGATGTTTGTTTTGTTTTTTTGAATGTTATGTTCTGCTGTCTTTAATAAAAAAATAAAAAAAAAAAAAAAAAAAAAAAAAAAAAAAAAAAAAAAGAATTCATAAAACATATGGTGGGGGGTTAGCTGATAATGTCCCCACCAAAGCTAAGACCAAACCTACACCCTTGCTTTCCTCAAAATAGCGTAATGTGGGCCCTTTAAAGTCACAATTCTCACAGTTCTCGACAAATGTTTTCTAGTGAGCTACATGTGAATATTCTGTACCAAACTAAACGAATCAACTTACACGCAGAGATTTGGAGATAACATGAAAACAAGCCAAACATTTTCAATGTCATGTTTCATCCCTCGGTCTATTTCACCAATTATGCAAAAATGTGTATCCGAGAACTACAGTAATTACTCCATGTTTGGACCGGGCGCCTCCCCGTCTCCGCTGCTGTCCCGGTTTCACGATGGCGAGCACCCAAAGCGGCGATCTGGGAGGCGCTACGTGAAATTACCATGACGATACAAGGCTGCGATGGACGAATATTAATTAGGACACGCGTAATGAGTAATTGATTGCTTTTTTATGCTTGTCAAATACGGAAAACATCAACAGCTCGAGTGCAAATGCGTTTAGGAGGTAATTGGAAAGTATGTGCGATGTGTAGGGGCCACATGATGGATGGGAAATGTACAGTGTAGAGATATGAGCCATTACATTACGACGAGTGACAGGTGAGGAGATTAACATGGATCTAACATGGCACCTGTTAGCGGGTGGGATATAATGGAGCGTAAAGGTGCACTGTGTAACTTTTATAATGGGGGTCTGTCACTTGCTTCTCTCCAATTACAATTATTTATTAGTAAAAAATACCTTAAAAACACGCTTTGCTTTCTGAATGTCAGAGAGGTTGGCATTACATAAATCTGACCTATAACTAGACTTGGTATTTCCATGTACCTTATTTTTCGAACTATAAGGCGCACTTAAAATCCTTTAATTTTCTCAAAAATCGACAGTGGGCCTTATAATCTGGTGCCCCTTATGTATTAATTCTGGCTGTGTTTACTGACCTTGAACCAATTTTATGTGGTATACGACGCTCAAAAATCTGTCAAAGTGTTTTAGTACGACTTTGGTAGCGAATACGAATATGATATGAAGCCGCACAGATTGATGGATTGTCGGAACATTACTGCTATCGTAGTCAGGAGCCTCGCGGAATCCGACAGAAGCTGACCACATCAGTTCACAAAGAGTGAGCTGTTTTTTCAGCGCTTATAGTTTATGCAAATCAGCCATGTGGTTTTAAGTTTTGTTTCTGTAAAACGTAAACAAATGTGCATAAAGCTGAATTAAACACATTATTACTCAATGTATATTTGAGTCGTCCTGTAGGAAATTTAAAAATTAACTTAAATGATCCACACACGTTCACATTCCTAATACACGTTCACCAAGATAGGGAGGCAACGCCGAGCGATTTACGCCACGATCTGCCAATGGATCATGGATACCTGGGCTAAGGATCAGTCTCAAGTGTTGTCCAGTTGTTTCGCTTAATGCACCTTATAATCCGGTGCACCTTATGTATGAAAATAGATGAGATAATTAACATTAGTGATATTGCGCCTCATAATTCAGTGCGCCTTATAGTCCGAAAAATACGGTAACTTATTCCTGTAATGGGGGCTTGTGATGTGATGATTTTTATAACATTATTTTAGTATTATTTTCATTGCTGTGTATGAAACAGGAACAGGATGGAAAAGTAAAAGTATTTTCATTTTAGTTTGAGCCCTGCTGAAAAGGTTGAGAGGGGTATTTTTTTAGCACATTTATAGTTTGACCAAACAAATCAAAATCACTACATTTGAGGCTTTAGTAGATCTCAAAATATGCACAGAATACTAATACTAATACTACTACTTAAACAGGAGCATTAATACTTTTACTTAGGTAGATTTTTTTCATGTGATATTTATATTTTTACTTGTTTGCTCCGGTATCTGTACTTTTATTTAAGTAACAAAAGTGAGTACTTCTTCCACCACTGAGTATGAGTTACCTTCGACCTCCAGCTCTGCCTTAGACTCCCCTCCGTTGGTTAAGGCGTGGTACGTGCCGATGTCTTCCTTCGTGGCTTCATTGATGATCAGGATGTGTCTCTTTCCGTCTTTCTTAAACCTGTACTTTGACCCAGCCGTTTCCTTGCTCAGCTCCACTCCGTCTTTCATCCTGAAGACGAAATGTGGTCAAACTTTAAAGGTCCTCTGTCACGCAAAATGGACTCTTGTGAGCTTTAAGTCATGTTTTAATGTTGTTACCTCCACAAAAACAGACCTGGAGCTGTGTTTTGTTCCATTCACACATTCACTAGAATAATTTGGATGATTTCAGCAGTGGAAATGTTACTCAGGGTGACTATGTGAACAAAACACAACACAACTCCAGGTATGTTTTTGGTGTAATCACATTTGAACATGGCTTAAAGCTTGCAAGTCAATTTTACTTCAACTGAAATCTTATGTTGACTGAACAGATGGTTGTGCATTTGTTTCCTCACCACTTGACGTTAGCTCCCTCCTCAGACACCTCCACCTCAAACTCCACCTTCTCTCCGACCACAGTGTGAACATCGTCCAGCAGCTTCGTGATGGTCACCGGGGGCTCTGGGGACAGGAAATCAAGGTGAAAAATACAGATCAAATAATAGTGATCATGTCTTTTTCGTGCATTTTGCCAGTTCAAATTGCATATGACAGCTTAGACTCATTACACATAGTTAAATTATTTTAATGAACTGACTAAAAACATTGTCTAGTTTTTCAAGTTTTTAACTTTGGTGAAGTCTATAATGTTACTTCTTGGTTGGACATGGGCAGCAGATGTGACATATGCAGGTCATACAACTGTTACTTTGGAAGTAGAATGTGCATCTCACAGGTTTTTATGGGTTTTTCTAATTATAACTTGTTAGGCTGAATAGTACCCCTGATAAATATTTATCATAGTTAAGTGGCAGTTTGTGGAAAAAAGTACAGGAAAATACAGAAAGTATCTATTTGCATTAGTCTTGTGTAACTGATGTAAATTTGAAGCTGCACCCTCCTCAGAGGTTTGGAGTTGTATCCTCCTGAGGCAGAGGAGTTGTACCCTCCTCCTCAGAAGGTGGAGCTGTGTCCCTGTCCCCTGTAGGGGGAGCTGTACCTTTGACGAAGAGCTCAGTGAAGCACTTCTCGTCGTCCACCACACACTCGTACGCTGCGTCGTCCGACAGGTTACACTTGTTTATGGTCAGACTACGAACGTTTCCCACACTCTCCATGACGTACCTGCAAAAAACACAGTATTAGTCCTGCTCTAGTCCTGGGCGAGTATTAACATGTTTAAAAAGTTTCACTTCGATATTTGACGCTCTGCTTCTCCCCTCCCTTTGCTCTCCACACTAAGTCACTCCCCCTTCAGAGTGCTTCAAAACACAATCAGCGTGCGTCCCGCTAATCAAACTACTGCACATCGCATCATGTACTGTACATTTGTCAAGCTGCCATGTACAGTTTTGTATTATGTTTATGTTTAAATAAGGCCTGAGAGAGATCACTAAATGATACAAACATGCAAGGATGACATTTAAAACCTCTTCAGGCATGTTTTTTGATGAAGGAAAATACACATGACATTTTGCATAGTACCCCCTCTTTAAGTATTTAGACATGAGGAAGTGAATAAGTACATTATATATTATTAGTATTACTCTGGTTTACCTGCTTTAATCCTGAGGCAGACCTGATTTAGACTCATTTATCTGGACTGTTATAAAGAGAGGACTTTCTGAAGTGGTCCCTGAAGTGAGCCAGTTCTGTCTGCGTATATTTACTGTAGAAGAGCTCGGAGCAGCAGGTATAAAAGTGAACTACGCACTACAGTGATGACAATACAGGCCTGAAGGATCACTGCTGATGTCACACAATGACTTCTCTCATGTCAAGGCGATGCACACAGTGTGGGATGTGGAGAGCCAAAGTGAAGATGTACAGAAGGTGAAACGAGTGAAAAAGCTCCTGTAAGGTTCGCTAACAGGTATTGAGTCTGACGTGAATAGAAAGATGTTGTTAAGATGGATGGATCTTGCCCCTTAAAGGTCCTATATTACGCAAAACTGACTCTCTTCTAATGACTTTGTGAGCTTTAAGGCCTTTTATAATGTCATACAGAGAGAGAGCCAGGGATAGAGGGATAGAGTGGAAGAGACAGAGGGATAGAGAGAGAGAGGGATAAAGAGAGAGAGAGGCAAAGAGAGAGGGATAGAGAGAGAGAAGGATAAAGAGAGAGAGAGACTTATGTGTAGAGACAGAGACACAAAAAGACAGAGAGATAGAGAGAGACAGAGAAAGATAAGAAAGAGAGAGTGACAGAGAGAGACTCAGATATAGAGAGACAGAGAGACGCAGAAAGAGAGAGATAGAGAGATAAAGAGAGAGCGATGGATAAAGAGAGAGAGTGACAGAGAGACTCAGATGTGGAGAGAGACAGGGAGACACAGAAAGAGAGAGAAGAGAAGAGAAAGAGAGAGAGAGAGAGAGACGGAGAGAGATTTAGATATAGAGAGACAGAGAGAGACAGAAAGAGAGAGATAGAGCGATAAAGAGAGAGAGAGACAGAGAGTCAGATACAGAGCGAGACAGACAGAAAGAGAGAGATAAAGAGAGACAAAGAGAGACAGAAAGAGAGAAGGAGAGACAGAGTAAAATAGAGAAAGAGAATGGTAAAGAAATAGAGAGACCGAGAGAGTCAGAGACACACAGAGAGAGAGTGAGAAAGATAGAGAGATAGAGAGAGAGAGAGATAGAGAGAGAGAGAGAGAGAGAGAGAGAGAGATAGAGAGAGAGAGAGAGAGAGACAGAGA